CCAATCGCTTAAAGTTTGTTTTTCAGGTAGAACATAAGTTGACAAAAACTGAGCACCAAAAAGATTGGAACCGCTCGCAGGCTATCCAAGAGTTTTCAGCGACCTTTTGAGTAGCATGTTCCCTCAAGCTAAGTGAATTGTTCTCTCAGATACCGTTTCTGTTGATTCTATTGTGTGGTTAGTCCTTGTATTTGAAGTGTGCTGTTCGAGGTACTTCCAGATGCTTTGTCCTTCATCTTTACTCTTCAGCTACTTTTCGATATCACAATCAGTTCTGAGGCGATCGGACTGGACAGACACAGACAGAAACACCTCGTACTGGAATTCAGCGCATGCTTGAACCCTGGAAGTGGCTAGTTATAAGCCTGATGATGACCGAGCCCCTTCAGTCATGAGCCTATTGGATACGCGCCTTTTTCAGTACACATTGTCGTCCTGCAGCAAAGAAAAACCGGTAAACCTAGGCGTCCCTTGTTTGAAAGTGCCTTGGAAACATCAAGCCGGGAAGGTAGTGCTCCAATTTGGTGTGCACTCTAAGTGCACATTGTCAGGCTGAAGAAGTTCACGTCTAAATGCTGCAATCTGTTGCCATGCCAATGAAAACTGTGGTAACAGTGTCAACACTGTTACGATTTTCAACCCTTAGTGGCCGCTCAGTATTCGCAAAATGGAATGGAAGGGCTATGACGTGTCCCTGATAGACTACAGTAATCGGGCAACTGGGTTGAGAGTGCCAGTCCTAACTTTTGAGCCCCATTTGGACATCCCAGGGTCTTAGCGACGCTGAGGAATTATTCCAACAGACTTTCCGCCGGAGGTATGATTGCTCCAGTGGACAATGAAATTTGGTGAGCTGCAAAAACCCCAGCGTAGATCAGAATGGTTTTTGGTTTGAGTACATACGCAACAAAACGTAAAATGTTTTACTCCACTAGTAAAGGTTTTGCAGCTGAGAGCATTGTGCGGCTAATAGGCTCCCCCTTTGTGGCTTTCAGTTTGTTAGAGTTGGATAGTTGATCCCTGTTACCGAAGTAACCAGTCAGCAAATGCAGCCCCGAAAATTCTCTTGATATTTCTACTGAGCCAATGGACCGATCGACGGCCATTATATCATATTATTAGTCAACAACTAGTGTAAAAATCAAACGTATTTTTTGCGGTCAGCAGTTTAATAGCGTAGTCTGCGGACCGGAGTTGACGTCGAAATTGGGAGGCGAAACCTCAGCAGTAAATCCCCGTTGTCCGTAGTATCTGGACCAATCTGGACACCGTAGTAACTAAGTATCAGACTAATTCCAACAGTTTTGATCATCTTTTCAGTGGGGCCATTCTGCGCTTAAACAGCCGAGAAGCACTGTACAGCTGTTTCCATCCACTTTGGGGGCCATCACTCGTGAATCGTCCTAAGTATCTACTGTCACGTTTTACGACCCTGAAGATTGCACAATTGATGAGGTCAGTAAACGAAATGCAGAATTTACAATTATTTGCCTTTGCAAACATTGAAGGTTGACGCAGTGGAACTCCTAAAATCCCTTTGTTTTTTTGTGACATTTCTTAACACGTGAAAATGGAAAATATGAGCAATTAAATCCGCTCGTGTTGATGAAAAACCAATTCGGGGAAAAATCAAGACAGCAATACCTCAACTAGGGGATATAATAGGGAAAGGGGCTTTTTGTTCTCTTTCGTAGGATAGTATCTCCACGGGATTGGACAGTAAACCCCGGATAATTCGAAAAACTTCATTTTTCAGCTTCGGAGGGATTGCTTGTGAAAGGGAGGGTTGCTCCTATATCTGCGAAGTCAAGTAGATCAAGGCTTATGGTTGTCATAGCAACTAAGTGTTGTTGCAGTTAATCAGGGCAGCATAGTTTTGACTCGGTTTGGAATAGATGCCCGACTTTGCAAAATCATATCGGAACTGTTCTTTAGCTGTGTTCGATGGACTGCAGTTTCGCAGTACTCACTTTTCAGAGGGGTGGTCAGGATCAGACTGGGTTCTTTATCGCTTCATCAGACGGAAAAAACTTCTTTGTCATGTACAATAACACCAGATTTTTAATAAAACGTTGAGATTCTGTTTGGTCCTTTACAGTCTTGGATGCTAGTATGTAGAATTTTCTTCTGAATGATCATTTCAAGCGCACATGATAGGACTGAAAAAGCTGGATGTTGTACCATAGCTACGGTCAGTACAGAGATTACGGTTCCTCGAAATGCTGTGCATTTTGGCGCTGGTCAAACACGGCAACGACCGGTGGAACAAATTATGAGACTGCAGGTTTAGCTTCGTGTACTTCGTGTGCTGCCTTGAGTTAACTGAAGCTGGTCTGTTCGTCCCCATTTCATCACGCATTGAGAGATTGCCCAGTGTTCATTGTCCTTCAAACGTGTTCTCTGCTATGTTATATTGTAGGGTTTTACGAGCATTTTCATTCACAGCTGCCCCTTTCTATGAAAGCGGGGAATTCTCTTTGCTTTAAATGGTTAGAGCCTGAGTTTACTGATCGGAAGGTCCGTGGTTCGAACCCGACCTCTGTCTCTCGACTTCCCCTGTCTAGGCTTGGGCAACCTGGCAGTATCCCAGTTCTCGTGTTTCCATCGGGTAGCATAGCAGCTAGGCACCGGAAAGGTGTTACAGCTGAACGTTTATTCATATCCAAACGACCGGTTTCTTCAGGTCTCAGATCAGAGAAGACTTTTTTAATTTTAGAATACAGCACTTGCCTGACCGCTTCCACAGACCCTGAGTCGTGTTCACAAATAGGTTTCTATTATCTTGTCCGTGATGAATAGGGCCTCATCTATAAAGGTGTCCAGCTTCTATGCCACCCGGAGGAAGTACAAGGGCCGAGGTTCTGCCAGATTGCCCAAGCCTAGACAGGAGCAGTCGAAATGCAGAGGTTCGAACCGCAGTCAGCAGTTCGAGCCTTAATCACTGAGCTATCACGGATCCGGATTGTAAAAATCAGCAACTGCATCCAAGTTACAGATAGTTCGATACTGTACTACTTGAATTAAACAAAATACATATTATACATCTCATGAAAACTGAATTGGTCACCTGGTATTTTCTTGGAAGCCGGGCTCTGTTCGATCCCCCGGGTAGGGACCTCTCTGCAGGAGGACCACATCGATGGTCCCTAACGAGAGGGAGAACCCAACGCGATGTGGGTAGTCAGTATGGACTGAACTCACTACCTTCGTTATTAGCGACTCTCGGTATGACCTCATGCACATCTGTTTCCTACTCAAGTTGTGGACGTTACTCACTCATCCGTGAGCAGCAGTTTGAAGTAGTTGTCAACCTAGACATGCTCCTCTGTGTTCATGGGACAACGCAGACCATTTTTAAACCCACGCAGTCGTTTGGATTATATCGTCCTGGTTGACCTAATGCCCTAATCCATCAAAGGCATTGTTAACAAAAGCGATTGGAACATGCGCTCTGACCTATCCTTTGAACGACCTGGCTATTAGTAAGCGCTTGTGTTCACGCAAACGTGACTCTTCTAGTCCCACATTCGATGATGATGATGATGATGAGTGGGAGATAGGGAGATCGATAATAATTTCAAATCGCTCCCCCCATTTTGTAGATTGGGCGTGGCTTTGTTGTCACTTTGATAGAGCATCGAAACCTCAGTTAAATGTGCTGGTTCACTTCTCCCCAGTCAGCCAGGTATCAATTAGTGAGGTTCCACTAAGGTCAACAACCTAAGAAGCGCGCTTGAATGGATGCTTACTAATGAAAAAACCGCAGTATTAGCATTGAAAACAGAAGCTTGACAACGAGCAATAATTTTGCTCGGTTATTCTACCGGAAGAGCTGGTCTCATTTAGAACGGAAACGAAAATGTGAATCACGAAATTGACAAATGTTGAGTGCTCGTCATCGGCTGTTTTGCACTATGCATGGCGATCTGGGTGTTGTAAATGGACACACGCGCTTCCGGAAGACCTCTGATAATCCACTCGAGAAGATTGTAAAAGGGAGCAGCAAGGAGGGATATGGTCTACGAAACTGACTGGTAAACTTTAGTCAGGGCTCTGGGAGACGATAGGTACACGGAGGCATAATGTTGCCTTCCTCTAAACACAGCAACTGAAAAGCCCGACCAAAAGAGGTCTCTTTCAGGATATAATCGGATAGGGTACCGATAAAAACGGAGGATAAAAATGGGAAAACCTTTAATGATACAGTGTGTGAATGTCACATGGTTTGGCATGCGCTCCACACCCGCAAAGTGTAAAGTGCTGCTACAATATTGGGTGGGATCACACCCATACCTCATGCTTGCAGGCGAACCAATCAACGTGCTAGATAAATTTTTCACCTGGGCAGGTGTATAAGTTCCGGTGTATTGGCTGGAGTTGAGATGATTTCTCGAATCGGAAAGGCCAAGGCAACTTTTGCCAACTTCCGACACCTATGGCACCGAAGTGATGTCAGTCTGTCAATCACCGCGGTAGTACGATCCACACTGCTTTATGGATCAGAGACGTGGCCCCTACGCGCAGATGACATGCGGAAGATGTCAGTGTTTGATCATCGTTTGATCATCGGTGTCTCCGAAGCAATGGTCAGGTCTGGTGGAAACATCACATCAAGAATTCTGAGGTACACCAGATGGTCTTGGGAAGAAGGAACCTTACCGCGATAGATGAATTACTCCCGCTTCAAAGGTTACACTGGTTAGGACATGTACTCCACGTGCCAGAAGACCATCTGCCTCACAGAGCTCTTTTTATCCTAGCCCTGTACTGAGTGGAAGCGACCGAGAGTTGGGCAGTGTATGACCTGTCAACGAAGCACGAAAACACTAACCAGTAAACTTAGTCGGCTCGGCGAGTGCCGCCTCTCTGGATGGGGACCCCAGGACTCAGATCACGAAGTTTTAGTGACATTGGCGGAAATGGCCCAATCGCGCAGTCAGTGGCGCTCGTGCATCAAAGCCATCACCTTCAGTGCGTAGTTACCCTATTTCCGAGCAAACTCAACATTCATTCGCCTTCAAGGCTTGGTTGTGTGTTTCACTTTTCTGTTTTCCGGTGATCGAACCTGTAGCAGCTGGATCGAATGTGCCTATGGCACACGGTTTATAGCTGATAAATTGATTGATTGATTGAATGCGTTGCGGTTTACACTGCGCCTGAAACGCATCTACATATTACGATTTGTTGTACAGAGGGAGTCAGTACACTGGGTCTTATGGGCACAGGTAACTGCGTCTGAATAAATAAGTAAGATCAACCGCGCGGTAGTAATGAAATTTCCAAGAACACACGGTTAGACATGAGCGATACCAGGGATTAGATGATATAAGGATTGTGGACGGATCTCACTCCGTTATATGCCAAAAATAATAAAAAAAATTGTACGAAAGACAGATTTGTAAAATCTTGAACACGAATCAAAACATATGCAATATAAATAAAAAGGCGGAGTCTTTCGACGAGGCTCGACCCCGCGCGATAGGTTATGGGTTTGAGTCCCGTCCAGTCGATCACGTAGCATATACTCAGGACCTCTACGGACATTTTGGAGAGGCTGATTAGACTGCTAAATGAAGATAACTGTTACAGCATGTAACGACTCTGGACGGCATTTTGGAGTGATTTGCGTAGTCATTGTTTCTAGGGCTCGCGAAAGTACAGATTTGTAGTTCAATTTCGCACCTGGTCTGTAGATGAATTTTACTTGGACACCGTTAACTATTAAATACCCCAGTTCCCGTGCCTCATCTGGGCTGCATATCAACCATGCATCGAAAAGGTGCCAAGGATGATTGATTTGATTAAATTCAAAAAATGGTTCACGTAATATGGAAACACAGTGACCTTTTCCGAGCGAATACATACGATCCTTGGTAGAGTCCGAGGTATTTGAAATTCGCGCCTAAAATAGACTATAGTTTGAATGAAGCTTGTGCGAGATTCGGTGAAAACGCAGACCTGTCTTTCACCGGAAAACGATTAAGTTCTTCTAGGAAGGATCTTTTAACCCAGGCATATGTATTCGAGGAAAATTGAATCGGTTTGATAGCTAAACTTGTTTAATGCACCAATTATTCCGATTGTACCGTTGGAACTCCGCATGCAGTTGAGTGGGCAACGAAGAATACTGAAACGTTCGACAGTGAGGATTTCGTGATCACATGCCAGGTCAACGATTACGTGGGTTGAAATTTACTTCGTGAACCGAACATTCAGTTCACGACATTTGACATTCTTACGTGCTGTGCACGGAAAGGGGATGGCTAACATTGAATTACAGGCGTTTGATTGTTGTTCAGAATCGTTGGCCATCTGCCAACTTTCCCAAGTCCATTGGTGTGCTTCGAACCACTGTATGGGCTCCGCACAAAGAAATGAGTTTGTCCGGATGGAATGTGGACTCATCGGTATAACGGCTCCATGATGGAAGGAGGAGTGTTCAGACCGGAGTGATGTAACTGAACACTAAACTGCCTATAGCCGACTAACCAGATAGGTCAAAGGGAAACACGTCCATCTGTCCAGACGTGATAGTTCACGTTCCCTGATAAGTTAGCGTTTACCCGCTAGCCGAAGTTCGAATCCTGACACGCCTAAGGATCTACGCTGCCAACGGACTCAAACCTGAGTGATATTCGAGCTCAGTACTTCCTCCATTTGGTGTGGACTCACAGGGGTAATCGCACCAGGGCCTAAGGCGGGCTGTTCAAAAGAGTGATGTGTTTGACTTAACAGGCCTTTTCAATAAATCTTGGTGGTAAGATCTAATCGATTCGACAGTGCATTGGTAAAGTAGAGTGAGACCAGCACATTAGTTGTGTCCTTTCCGCACATACGTTATCCGGGGTCACACAGTTATAACAAAAGTATACTTGAAACAATGGGTGGTAGTGCAAAACCTCGCAACCAAAAACTGTGTTCAGTAGAGGACAAACCGGGTCAAAAGAGAAGCGAAGTGAAGATAAGAAACCAAGTGCACAGGTTGTATATTGATCAGCCAACCAAATTAATCAGAGTGGATGTCTGTGTATAATTTACACAGCCAGCGGAACACAATTATGTTTGTGCTTTCAAGGCACCCTTACTCTGAACTAACTATAGTAAATTCTTTAACGAGGGAACTCAAGGCGCTAATTCGTGTGGCCCCCCTCGCGAAGAGGCCAAAAAAGGCCCACTGCTACTTACGTCTTCTCTTCGGAAGAATAATGTGCACACTGAGGTGCCTTAGGAGATTTGTGTCAGCTCTTCGCCTACCCTGCATTACATCTGAATTCTGTGTATCTTTTTCTGCAACGCACTTATTGGTTCGATCTTTTGGCGAACGTCTTATATTTAACATCGAACTGGGGTTCCTTTCCATCATTCACTGTTTCAAGTTGGTTTTCGATACTTTATAATTGGTTTACATTCATTCAACCAAGCTCTAGATGACCGAGTGATTAGGCCGCGAAATTACGACCGGAAGGTCCTTGGTTTGAACCCGACTGTTCCTGTCTAGGCTCGGGCAACCTAGCCGTATCTGGGTCCTCGTGCTTTCTGCGGACGGCATAGCGGTTAGGTGCCAAAAGGATGCTACAGCTGAACCATTTAACAAAGTTTTACTCTAGAACTGACACGCATGGACGCACACCCACACTGAGCATAAGTGCAACTTCATATCAGTGGTAAGGAAGGCTGACTCCATTACAAATGAGTGCCTTACGGAAACACAAACTGTACATCTTGACGTGACCGTGATAAAATCTGTTGACGATAACGCTGTTGACAGGGTCTCATCTATGACTGCCGATTCTGGCCCATCCAAGCCACCAGGTCTTGGTCGCAAAGCATCTCCCAGAATTCGAATGAAACAATGCGTTGGGACGCTGCGTGTACGCTCAGTCGGTTCTTTGAGCAACAATTATCAGTGGTTACTAAATCAGATAAGTCGGGGTTCACTTTTTGCATGAAGGAAACTGCAGATAAGGTCGACGACGATCACGACCGGTTTCGCCCAAATTGGGGCTCATCAGATAGGCGCAGTCCTCGAGTTTCTGTCAACCTTATGTTCTACTTGAACCCAAATCGGACTGCGTTCGATTCATACTATCATTCGCGTATCAAATTGGTTTCCATGAGAGACTCAGCTGAAACTCCCGTTTATAACCGAAATCAGTCAACCCCTTTCAGTCATCAAATCCTTCATTTGTGTCCACTCTTATTTCACCAACTTAATTAACCTGGTTGTTCTCGCGTACTATTGTACTCGCAGTTCATTCCATTTTGACATCTGTGTACGGTGGGTGGTTTGGATCGCCACAGCTTACCCGGAGCTCTTTGTGACAGTTGAAAATTGGCTCTATCTTTATCGGACCCCAGTAAAATATATCCCCTGCTTTTGTTGTGCAAACCTCAACAAAGTGACACATCCAGACTTGTTCCGTAGGGCACTACTCATTCTATGCTGGCGTACTTTTGTACACAAGGTCATTTGCCTACAAAGCCTTCACGGACCCGTATCTGGCAGGACCCATGTTTTCGTCCTTGCCTTTAGGGAACCGGATCTTGGATATTCCATCAATACAAGCTTTCTTGGCCAAACTTTACTACTCATCTATGGATATACATTTGCTTTTATACAAGCCGGTTAAAATACTCATTCGAGAATCCCGTAGTGATGACAAAGTACAGAAGACCACCTGTCTTGTCTTGGTAATCGCCTCGTATTCGTGTATGGGTCGTTGAAAACCCAGTAGGTACTGATCTGTTCGTACTATTGTTGTACTACTGTCTCGCCATCATTCCAGTCACAACCGAATGGTGGTCACCAAATTTAAGGACCGCCTTCTCTGACCTTGTTGTTTTACAAGTAACCGGTTAGTCTGCAACGAGATGGATCAACCTCCCAATAAATCTGGACAAAGCATTTGAAACGTGATCCCGCTAGAATCCAATCCCGATGCGTCAACCGCACGGTAGTTGCTCCAAATGCACGCGTCGACTGAAAACCACCATTCACATCCAGAAAGCAACTAGAAAAAGTACGCTGGACTAGAAGGAGATACCAGGTTGAATCAGCCAACAGTTTATATGCTCAGTCGGTGTAAATAAGGGATCTCAAACAGGCGGCTCACGCAATTCATATGTAGCACATCTGTTTGAGTACAATGAGTGAGATCGAGATAGTTCAATGGTTGAGTAACGAATTACTGACCGGAAGGTCCGTCGTTCGAACCCAACCTCCGCATCCCGACTATTCCTGTCTAGGAATGGGCCAGCCCGCATGCTTCCTCTGGGTGACATGGCAGCTCGGCACCGAAAGGGTGCTACAGCTATTACTGCTATAAGTCCAAACAACGTGAACTGCCCCTGGATCTCGCGCCTGCCAATATAAAAAAACCTTCATAAACGAGAGAAGACACGAGGGGGGAGCATGATGAAGAATCTAGACACATCCTAGGCTTTATTTTCTAGTGAAGATAGCTAAGTCCCACTACCATTAGGACCAAACAGCACCTGCCTAGCCGAGTAATGTGAATATCAATGAATAGACAGTTCTAACATTTCTACGCTTCTAACGCCGAAAGTAGAATGCAGGTGTGATCGGTACTGGATCGTTTTTCTAGAACCGATCACGTCTACCACCTAGCCAGCAAAACTACTCACTCACTAAGATGGCTGGCTGTTGAAGTGTATGCACACAAGCTTATTTGGATTCGAACCACGTACCTTACACTCCCCACCTTAGCCGGAGACATTCTACCTTGAGGATGCTAGCAAATCAGACCAAAATCTCGGATATCTTACACGGCAACGTATGCAGCAGGCTATCATTTTCTACAGAACCTTCCCGTTCTTCCTGCCTTTAGTTTTCCCTTGTTTCTAAGCCGTGCGTACGCATTTCTTCACTGGAGTTGGTGTAACCGACAACATACGTGCTCCTAGGTGAGAGGATATCAGTCCCCTGAATCATCAGGTTCCGTTGACTCGACCTGCCAACAAACCCAAATTATCACGAATAACGCTTAGATTTTTGGTGTCACACTTGCAATAGGCGTCCATATTACCTCGATAACGGTTGTCAACTGGCAGATAGCCAACCACTAAGGCCATTGTGACAGCTTATCGTCCGTATCCAATCCTACGTGGATTCATGTCGAGCCTAATACCTTACGGAGCAAAGCAGGGGTCGAAAGACTGACACATGGGTTTCCCACCACATTATACGCACTTGTTTCAGGGTCGTACCATAATACGTGTCCACTAAAGTTGTGCGGGTGTCACGACAGAGATTGCTACCCGTGTCAGACTGAAACAACACTGAAATCAAGTGAATGAATGCTGATCATGGGTGTTGTAGTGCTTGCAACAACAGCCTTTCAACACCACATAATGTATGTGAAGTCGCTCCCACTGGTAGATCCGTTATCCTAGGAAGGGTGGACAAAATGAGACGTCACCAATTTGTGCCTTTGGAACCAGCACATTTTGTCCACCCATGCTCGCAATCCTGATATCGAGTGGTTGCTCGCACACGGACACACTGTACCTTCGTAAAGCGACCAAGTGACGGGAACCCTGTCTTGGTGTTTGCCCAGCTGCATAGCCCCAAATCTAACCCTGCATTTGCCTAGGCCCGTTGTCCGCACACATTCTGTCGTCATGCTTAAAAGACGGAAGAGGATCCAGAGAGCCTACCAAGTCGCTGGTGGCAGTCCTTAGAGATGAATGCATCCAAGACATACGAAAAATTGTACGCCGTTCATAATTCAACAGCCGCTCACCGTCAACATTAGATCGTCCCACCAGGAAAACAATGCATTTAGTAGTGCTTTCTGGTTGATTCACTAAACCAGGTACGGTGGACTGGAACACATCTCCATTTACCGTCAGGGGACATGTCACTATCCTTCAGAAAGAAATACGAGCACTGTAACTCAAGTACAACTGTTACAGTATTGTGTGGCACATTCGAATACTTCACGAGTGCGGTGTAGAACGTCGAATAACGACTACCGATAAAGCAAGATATGGAACAGAGAATTGATTTGTCTTAGTTTGACGAATAATTCTAACGAGACCGCCTTCCGCGAACCGTTCGTCCCCCAAACCAAGTGCATAGAAAGCGAAGTGAGCAAGGCCCGTTGGCGAGGCGTAGGCCACTTGCGTTCGTCCAAGTGGAGAGGGGTGTGGACACCTCTCCTAGAACCTCTTACCTGGGCCGTTCTATGGAAAAGATGGCAGTCCCACCACTTGTTGGCACGACTGGACCCCAAGCGGGGACGATAGCGACACGCGAGCTTGGTAGTCAGGTTAGTGAGACGATCACGGAATAAATATGCCGCCGAGCATGGCTAAACAAGCTATTGATCAGCTGTTCCTTTCTCAACGCCACGTCACCAGTTAGCAACATGCCTTCAGGACACTTGAACCACCAGCGCCCCACTGGCGAGTCGGACTTCATTCAGAAATTTGCCTGGTCATATCGTAACTACGAAACAACTACCATGCTGGAGATGACTTGCCAAGGGGAGTGAGTTTGAAGTCTGCCCAGAAAGACCCGTTGGTCTCGGAGGGCTGTCACCGGAGACCTTTGCCCATTGTCAGAAAAAATCAAACTGACCGCATGCCTATCAAACTTCCCAACTGCCATTAACCGACCAGACCAGTAATCAATCCTTGCGCAGTATTTAAGCGAGGGCCCAGAATTTGACTGATCAATTCAAAAGCTAGTAGAAACATGGCGGGTGATCGATAGCCCGATGACAAGAAGCTTCACGCTACACATTCGTACAAACCAGCTGAATGTCAATACGGACCTCTTCCCAAACATCAACTAAACTCATGTTGGAAGGGATTCAGGGTGATCTCCGTAAACGGGTCAGTCATTGCAGGCATGCTACACCCTACTTCCGGGCTCAAAATAACGATCAGAAAGTGCCACCGCTCCAATAACGGGAAAGCTGTAGAGCCAGAATTAGTTCACCGAGCAGCTCAGACTAATCTCGCGAAGCAGCAGCGTACTCAGCCAGGCAGATGATCGGAATGACGCCAAAATTAGGACCCGAGCCGGTGAGAAGACGCGAGCAACTGGCGTTAGGTAGCTATCAAGATGGAGGAAGAACGATATTTCGGAATATTGGTCGACCTGGTGAGCAGACCAAGATGTGGTTTACAGGAACATGGAGTGTGACGCAAACCTAACACGATACTTGGCGCGACTGCGTTGCCTCAGTTTACAAGTGTCACGCACAACCCAACCGATCTTCAGATATTAGGACAATGTCTTCAACACACGTGTATAATAAAAATAAAAACAATGCAAAGCAGAGGTAATGCGCATTTAAAGTAAATGGCAATAAAACCAGATGTACTAGGAAAAAACGAACAAGCAAAAAACAGGCCCATAAGTTCAAAGGTTGCCGCCATTGAACAGTGTGCACTGGTGGTAGGATGGCCGAAGATAAATTGAAAATCTGAAATGTTACTAAATTAGAAAAGTAATGAATGCTGGTGGTATTTTTGTAAATCAAAAGAGTACAAACGACAGACTACAAAAAAGAGCGAGACAAGGCACAGGTGCGACATAATCGGAGTGTGGGAGTGAACACGCAAGAACGCACATGAAGAGGCAAACTGGTTCGAATGAAGAACAAACCAAATGCGGTAGGAAACTTTGCAGGCCAGCTGCCTGTCAAAGTGAAACGGAACGTATGGTGGTGAACAGACTCTGAGCAGTTGGGAGGAAACTGGGCCTGGGGGCCAAATGGGGAAGCAGTTGACGAAGGAATGGAATCCGAAGTCCCCCACGGCCAGTGATCTGCTCATAGATACAAAAAACGCAGTACCAGTAGAACCGGTGTTGACACTAACCAAGATGAAGGCGATATAACCATACACGGTGGGAAGATGGGGTAAGCCGGCCGATTGTTTCGGAAATGCATTGTGCGGGGATCGGACGCAAAAGCGCTCCGCACAAGTCTTTAATAGAACAGCAATCATCCGAGATATGCAGTGTCACGGGTGTCATGGGCAGGGGGCCGCGGAGTGGAGGAATAAAATGAACAAGCAGCCTCAAGAAGATAAACACAGGGTAAATGCAACTGTGATAGGAAAAGAATGACCAGAGATAGAGATAACAGGAACGAAATACAAGGCACCCAGTAGCAGTAATGGTAGACAGAGATGAAGGAAGATAGGCACGGGCGCAATGCGATGGAATGATAATTGATTAATCCACGCCATGAAGTGCGTGATCTCAAGAAACTCAAGTGTGATTATGACGATGCAAACTAATAATTCAGGCAAAACAAAGTAAAAACTATCGGACGCTGTTGGAAAATAAAAGTATCTACAGAACAATAGTAGCAGCAGTATATAAAGATTATAGAAACGAAAACAAACAAGTCAGTGTAGTAATGGTAGGGAAACCGGCGAGCAGCCCTGAAGACAGTCAGCGAACCGGAGACAAGGGAGAAAACCAACACTCTATAGTGAACAAAGTACCGGAAAAGGAATGGCGATAGGTGCGCTTGGAGTAAGCCGCCCGCCTCACACAACAAAGAAAGAATCAGTAGGAGCAGCAACACCAATAAGGGGATGCCTCGTGGCCAAATCTACGTGAAATAGATGAACACGAAAACATGTAAAATGTACCTCGTAATCAAAATAAAAAATAAAATAGAAAAACACCGTTCAACGGAATAAGGTTGATTCAACTTTAGCAGCATCATTCACGTAAGCCCCCAGCATCAACCGGATCAGCGTCTGATGCAAGTAACTTGGAGAAATTGACCAGATCGTGGGGGTTGAGGGTACCACTACACTCACCACTGCCATCACGTTCGCTTGCGTTCTGAGTCAAATCAGCGCTTTCTGGTGCGGTAGTACCATTTCGATTCAATATAGTGCAAACTGCGCGTGGGGTGCTCGGTGTCGACGAGTTAAGCTTGAGAGTCTCATCAGCATCTTGAGAAAGCTGTTGACCAAAACCAACTGGCTGTTTAATGGACACATCGGAACAAACGGTGGTGCGGGGTGAAGTGTGATTTAAGTAAGGATTTGTCATTGGCGGTATGAACGGCGTAGTCAGATGATCGTTTGGGAACATACTCAGTTGGGCTTCCCATTCCGGAATTTGCCTTAGGGATACATTGCGACCACCACCTACTACGACGACTACGTTTGCCGGGCGGGGAATACGTCCCTCTAGCTGCAAACGGCCAAGGACCCCTGAGTAAACTGCAGACAAAGCGGCTCCGCACGCAGGTTCAACCAGCATGCCGTGGTCATCTGACGAAGGTAGATGGAATGAAGGGAAATTATTGAGGTCAATCAAGAATCGTATTACTCCAGAGTTCATGCAAACATGAGAACAATGTTTGTTGGAGTCATACATACACATGAGAACAATGTTTGTTGGAGTCATACAACAGGCACTTATGACGTGAAAAATTTATTCGCAGTGGAAATGAATGCAACATCATTTCTTATAGAATTCACTGCTGTGTTGTCAACCCCGGAATAATTTTAAACACTCACATTTCAACCAGATAGCACAGACGGTGAGTGGTAGCATGAATGACATTGGCGTCGACTAGCTGCCACATCCCCAAGCGAGCACAGCAGGGTCGCGGTGAATCGACGAACACTCCCGTGCTAGTAGTAGTACTGTCTGGCTGCTGACATGAAATCCGAGGGGCCCAAACAGTACACATACAGACACGTTTCATTATAGGTGTGATCGAAATTGAGCACCGGCATTCCACTATTGCACACCGCCTCCGGTTACTAGAAGAACCAACCCCTGATCATCATAGATATATGCGCAATCTGGATAGAACCGGAGTTATGACTACTTAATCTCGCATCTGACGGCGAATGAAGCTATGTACGAGATCCGTCAGCTGTGTCCGTGTCGAGATCAACATCGAAGTCGTTTCGTCTCTGTATTTACAAAAGTAATTCATCTGTATTTAAGACTCATCTAGCTAAGGAAACTGACTCACCGAGAAAACGTTTGACGGCATCTAAAGCCTCTGAATCGGTGCAGATGACGGGGGTCAGTGACTGCAACTGGGCGAGATTCCAGCTGCGGTGCGCTAAAACTGGGGCTATGAGGGAAGTAGCAATACTATTGACGCGAGGGACCAGAAGCAGTTGTCCAGCTTTCATAGAACGACTGAGGCAATCGGCACCTTCAGTCTCCACAGCGACCACATGGGTTGAAGACCAACCACGGTTCCACAAACCCTGAAAGATGAAAGCGTAAATAACCAACGTAGCAAAATTTGCAGGAAGTATTCGATCATAGGAAAGTCTATTGACATGATTGTTCTGCTACTACTGCTACCCAGAGCACCCGAAATTCCGAGAAAAAACCGTATGGTTACTGTTGCATTATTCCGCTAGTGTGGTATCAGTAGCAGTGGACGTGTGCGCAGTGTTCAGGCACATTTGCTGATGAATCACCGAGCTCATTGGCTTCAGTCACACAGTAATGTAAAGCAACTCGAAGCCCACCGTAGCAGGATACCGTAAAAACCGCTGTTTAGGACACTAGTAAATAAGTTAGTCTACGTCGCCGCCTATCACTGCAGTTCCTGATTGTGTTCACTGATGAATGGATTGGGACTGGAGCGCTGCCCAGTGGTGGCTTCTAATAATGGGTGGGAGCGATCGGGTTCTGTGTGACGCAAAATTAAGCGAGGAGAGCAGAAAACGCATATCCATGGGGCACACTGACTAACCACTCAAGTTGTCTCACCGTGAGGATAGTTGGGCTGTCGGATTTGACTCTTCTGCAAACGAAACTTCACCACTACCGTTGCCGATCGCTGTCAGTGTGTGACAGCAACCTGGAATATTATTTTAGCCAGTGAATCATTACCCAGCATAGTCCCCGAAAAAACGCAACGTTGTCTGTGACACTACTATGGTGAGTTATTTCGACAGCATAGAAATAGCCCATTTTGAAGCTCTAACTGAAACATGGGTCAATGTCGTTGGCGCCCAGCCATGACTTGAATAGTATAAGTGGTACATCAGACAAAGTTGTTCTTTGCAAATCTGAAGATGCCTTAAAAATAGGACCATTTGGAATAAAAAACGTGGCAGAATTCATTCGGCCACCTGGAAACCAAACTGACATTTTAGTAAGAGCTACATGCAGAAATTAATAATAGTAGCATAGAAAGGCAACATCTCCACCAAAACAAAGGCCGGACCACTCCATCTACAGTGCAGTGGCTTCGAAAGGAGCGACTACCTCGGTGGTTGTAGCACCTGCGGACGCGTCTGACATGTTAGAAATCAGGTGGCTGTTGATTGACAAATAATACATGCAACTGGGCCACGAATGTTTCAAAATATGTCAAAGGGTATAAACAAGAACAACTGACACTTTCATCCAGAAGCGACAAGCTGGAAAATTCAACATGACTTACTTGGATTATGCCAGCCAGTAAGCCGCCACCACCGACGGCCAAGATGATGACATCAGGTTGCCCAACGTCGGGCGCCAATTCGTCAACAATGACTTCGTACCCTTCCCATAGATCAGGGTGATCGTAGGGATGAAGTAGGCGTATCGACGAATCACCTGGGTGACCAGCTTGGAGATCATTGACTAGCTGCTCGGCTCGATGATTCGCCTCCAACCAATCGGACCCATGAACAACTACTTTGGTGTCTGGAGCATCAATGGCCAGACGTCGACGAACTGTGTTTTCGACAGGCTCCGGTATCACTACAGTGCACGTAAGACCATAAGCCTGAGCACAGAATCCAGCAGCAACTGCAGCATTGCATCCACTAGGGCACACAACATGAGTGACCCCCGAGGCCGCCCACTGGAAGACGAGGCAAGATAACAGAGATCGACAGACGTCAGCTGCGAGTAGAATGTCACGGAGAGTGTTAAATATGGAAACATTCGCATGCATCACTGCCATGAAAGCGTTCAGCTGTAGCACCCTTCCGGCGCCTAACTGCCATGCCACCCGAAGGAAGCACTGCCATGCAAACACGCGGCACTACGACTAAGAAAGGCCAAGGGGCCCAAGTTTATAATAATAATAACAATAATAATCGTTCAGCTGTACCACCCTTTGGGTGCCTAGCTGCCATGCCACACAAAAGAGGCACGAGGACTGGGATATTGCCAGGTCGCCCAAGCCTAGACAGGGGAAGTTGAGTGGCAGAGGTCGGGTTCGAACCACGGACCTTCTGGTCAGCATATTCGCGCTCTAACCATCTCGACCCTAGTGCCAACCAACCAACCAATATTTCTAAGCCACTGTGCGAACCATGAGGACAGAAAATATTGAAAGCATTTGGAATCGAATGCGAAAAGGGCGTTTCAGAAACAATACTATTTTGAAAAAAAAACGTGTCCTTAGTTCACCAATCAATCCTGTACATTAGATTCAAATGGTGAAATGGCTTCACTCTGATCTAGTGAGTTTTCTGGTCCGTTTGATCGATTCACCATCATCTCTTCAGCTGCAAGCATGCGTGGATGTTTTAAAGTGGTCACAGTTGCCACTGATGAGCTGGGGACATAGAAATAGATAACGACGAAAGAAAAGCAGGAGCTTGTACAACTGACGCGAGTAAAAGGGGACGTAAAATTGGGGAGACCCGGAAGGTAAGCTACGCAGTGAAAGCAATATCTGGGATGCGTGCTCACGATTTTATCAGCTCGCCTCAAATGCGCAGCTATCTACCCCAGCTCATCAAATCATCGGTGAACGAAACCCACCTCCTCAAACCATCGGTGAACGAAAGTGTGACAACCACTGTACAAGTACGCGGTTCTTAAAGCTAACTACGGTGATGATGCTCACCACTGGGCCTTCTGTCAAATTCTATAACCGTTGATGAATTCCGGTCATTTTCATCGTCACTATGAACCAGCAAATATCCCGAATTGCAGGTATCCGTGTCTGCGAATCGATAACCGTCTTGTTTTCAGCGATGAATCCCCAGATAGATTGAAATACGAGGTTCGGCGTCTGAATTGATGGTGGTGACACAGCTGACCTCCACAATCACAACGCCAAGCTTGGCAAGGAACCTCCTCAAACACCGTCTGGCTTGGGAAGAACACGAATACGCAGATTCAGCTGGATGTGCTGCTAGTTGTGAAATGTTAAGACAGCATTGCTGGACATTCCTGATGGGAGATGACCTTGCGGGTATTGGACATACCAGTGTCCAATGCAAAAGGACGCTGTAGGGCTCAACTAAAGACCGGCTGCAGGTTCGAGGTCGCACACTCGCCATCTGGGTATTGGAGCGAACACCAGAATCGTCAAAATCCCTAAATCTTTCGGAGCGACCTGAAGTATGTGAACGACATTGTTCTCATTCTTGAGAAGTAACGGGCAACGCAAGCATTCCTAGAAAAGCTGACCAAAGTCATCTAGACCTATAAGTTTAGTCCATTGGAACCAACGGGCCCTAAATGGCATCCAAATCAAAAAACGCACCCAGCATAGTACACAAAAGTAGCCGAATTACCGCCTGCCGAGACGAGCGCCGTTTTCCGTGCCCAATTCGGAGTGACGAAAACCTTTAAGTAAACGGAATTCGACATGATAGACGGGAACGAAGCGTTGTTCGACCTACAGGTTGAGGCCTATCCGGATTGCCCGGTTGAGAATTGGAGGTGCGGGCAGCTTGAACGTTTGTGGTGGCCTAGTCCAAGGCACCCTAACTGTCCCATTTCTTTGCACTATGATACTTCATTGAAATAGACTGACATGACTGCGCGACAGTAAAGCATTACTGTTGTCATGTTGTGTTGCTATCAACGATGAGCTCCAAACGCCTCGCATTTTTTCAGGCCGTTGCGCAGGGAGGAACACTGGACCATCCCAGTGACACAATGCTCGGGTATTTTTTAATACCTCCGAGAGATGTAGACAGTCTGTTCACGATCATTTTCCTCACACAAGTTTATTTCGGGCATGTGTACTATGAAAAAATCGTCCAGCTATAGCACCCTTTAGGTGCCTGACTGCCATGTCGTCAGGAGGAAGCACGAAGGCTGGGATACCGCTAGGTTTCCAAGCCTAGACGAGAAAGTCATGATGCAGAAGTCGGGCTCGAACTACGGACCTTCCAAGCAGTAAATTCGCACCCTAACCACTGAGCTTCACTAGGCCTTTTTGCTGTAACGGTGATGAAACCGACAACAATCTAATCTCAGAACTTCTCAAAACCAACGAAATTCGTATGCTAAGCGGGACATCCCTGGTGTCTGCGCAACAGTGGTTGAACACATGTAGCAAAACAGCTGCGGCAGGTGCGTCTCGCCAGTCCGGTCAACTTCCCTTTTGAAGAATCTGTGGGATTTCCCTCGGTGGATTCTATCACTTTTCTCGGGCATATGTATTTCGAGGAGCCTTCGGTAATTTGCCACATTTAGCTGAACCGTTATCTCACATGACGGAGAATAATTAACTGAATGAGTGACTAATGCCGGCTAATTCATCTACTTTCACGAAATTTAACATACACAGCTCGTCACTACTGTGAATCTCCACTCACAACTTAAAAGCTATCCGCCACAGCCTGCAAGATGTCCGGCGAAAACTCGGGTACTAATATACCTAACGTCCATCCTATCGTGTCCATACATAGTGGGACGTCATACGAGTGACATTTTCCAAGTTGGCTTGGGGAAACAAACAGCGAGATCTGAGAGGGTACAGCCAAATTCAAAAGATAAGTCGTCGGTGGGATCTCAGGCTTCCGGATTCGAGGCGCGGAACACGTTGCTGGTCAACGCGATATGGAAAGTTTAAGCTCTGATTCGTGGCTCAAAGGATCGAAATGTTATACCAGGGAACAACGTCTGAGCTTACCACATATATGAAGAACTGATATTGGAAGTCTATTTTACACAGCAACACATCTGAATTTGGTGATTGAGTCGCCCTGGTCCCGTTATGTTACGGTAAAGACGGCGAGACTCACCTTGCGGCAAACATTTTCCATTCCTCGCACTTTAAATGAGCCAGTGGGCTGCAAATTCTCTAACTTGAGCCACACATTCACTTGACATCCACGCTGTGAGGACATAGAAGATAATACTGTGCTTGCAATGACCGGTGTTTTGATTGAAAGACGCTTCACGGTATTCGACAGCAAACTCGAAGCAATAGAATCGGCGCCTCGGGCTGCGTCAGACCCTGAAGCAAGCACAGAGCGGTGAGGAAACGTCCATGTTTGTGATTGGTTGGCCGTCAAGCCACGTAGGGAATGCTCAAGCCTGGAGGCTTCTTGCTCAGATGCTCGATGGACAGCTAATGCATTCACAAGGGAAAGGTCACGACTGGCAAAACGTTCATTACCACCCATCAAATTGGACGTGTTCGAGGCCACTTGTCCATCAAGAAGTTCCAAGAGCTCCAATGGATTTCCTTGGTGGTTCAGAATTGACTGCCCGTCACCTAAAACAGAACGTATTAATGTGTTAAACGTGAACCCGACCTGAGCGTTATACAAGGCATCCATTAGGGTCAGAACTAACCTTTGTTGCGGATTATAGCTCGTGGGTGTGGAAAACTGCTGGTTGAATGTAACTCAGAAGACAATTGCAATGAGGTGGGATCCACCGACTTAGACAGTGGTCCTAAGAAATAAATAAAATATACTGCTAAAGCTCACCATTGGGCAAACAGTTTGACGATCCCAAGGCCTTTCGATTGAGAAGATTACTGAGAACCTCAGATTCAAAGTGCTCTGCAGAGTTTTGAGAATTCGGTAAGCGAGAAAGGCCGAAAGCAGGCGACTGGCGAGATGGGAGGCAGAACAGTCCGTATGTTTCACGTGTAACCGATCCTATTATACGTAAACGCAATGGAGAAGACCACTCCGGAGCATGATAACCATTTAGACGAAAAACAGATTGCTCAGCGCTGAAACATTGAGAATCAAGAAGACGGTACCTACCTAGATCGTTCCTCAAATATCACGGAGGCTGTCGTCGTCAGACGACTTCCCTCAGCTGATTCTGAGCTCATATCGCTTGCAGCGCCGTTAAGAGCCGGAGAACTCATGCGCGCCTTATGACTCGGGGGTGACTCAGATAACTGTGGTGCTAAAAGCCGGACGAGAATGACGTTCCCGAAATTATTGAAAAGTCGCTAAAAAAGTTAGAAAAGTTAATGAAAACTTACCAGAAGATCTGCTTCCGTCCATTCCATCGGAATACCCACAACAAACACTTCCCATCCGATAACATTCTCGTTGGTTACTTCGTTGGTCAGACACCCAGCAGCACCAACAGTATTAGCCACAGAAGGCAAACGATGACTAGGGGTGAAGCGTCTACCGCCTGAACTGGCATAAGCCACACGCAGCCTTTTCTGCTCAGTCTCATAGCCGTGATACATCTGGATCGCCAGGGCGGCATGCTGAGGGTTGACAAAGTCAACAAAGCCGTAGCACAAGCTAGCGCCGGTGTTCTACCACGGTGAAAACGGAACAACGCACACTTACCTTGTCCCGAATGAGTTTACATTGACGGATAGGACCGACGCGTTCAAAAAGCCTCTGGAGGTCGTTTTGATCGTAGCTTTGTGGTAAGTAGTTTATGATTAAATTTGTACGAGATCGATCCTCATTGAAGAAAACACTGCCTGGATTACTGGCAGCGTTCAGTTGCGTGGACACATTGAGTCCCAGGTACTTTATCCGCGCTGCCACTTCGTTGCTAGACAGCCCGTTCATACCTATCATGGGAGAGCTCGAGACAGAATCCTGGAGCGGAATTGATGGAAAGACGTCTGAAAGACTGCCATTTACGCAACCATTTGAGTGCATTTCGCGAAAAAATCGTCACTATATGCAGATGACCGCTGAGTATCAGCAGAGCCGAAGTAAGTCACGCAGCGCACCTTCCAGACCGAAGCACCCGGGGGTTTCCAAAATCTAATAATCAAAACAAACAGTCCGCCTTGTTTCGAAATGGAAAACGAATGTTCGCTTGCAGAACGATGGTTTCTTTCTTGTTTTGTGCAAAAACTATCATATTCTTCGGAGATGGTGTGCATCCTATTTGAACTATGACGGCGGCGTTTTCGAAATTTCACTATGGTGCCGCGCACATGATTCGCACAATGAAATAGAATTTTCGAGAGCTACGACGTTTTCCTGATGGACCAGAGCAATAGACCAACTGGGTTGCGACTACCAGTTCATATTTTTGAGCTACATTCAGGCATCTCGGGGTTTCATCGATGCTGGGAAATTAGTCCATCAGACAATTCCGCCAGGGGTATGATTGCTCCGATGGACAATGAAGCTTGGTAGCTTGCACCAAATTGAACGTAGATTTAGATGATTTTTGGTCCGAGCGCGTAGAAAAAAATGCAACATTTTGGCGCGAAAGGTTTTACCATGATCTCAAATGTTCTGCAGCTGCGAGCAGTGTGCGGCTAATAAGTACAATACGGTGCAGCGGGTCAGTGATTGAGTCTCCACATTGGTGTCAACAAGTAGGGCATCGTCCAATTATTTAAGTGGAGAAATCCAGTACGGGTCAAAAATTGGACGGAGCATCGCAATAACCCATTGCGATATAACAACGCGAAAGATAATAATATGCGTCTGGCCTCTGAAATTGTTGCACGATGTCCATAACCATATTGCACATTATCCAAGAGTTTGAACCAAGGTAGAAATAAAAAAGGAGGTTCAAGGCGCATCAGAAGTGCGACGCCTATAAGTCTGCTTGTATTCTCCTGAACGCATCCGTCTCTGACATATTTTCTGGTGCTGTGCTGATGGATTTTTGCGTGATTCAAGAAGTAACTACCCGTGAAAAACGTGAAAAAATCCCTTTTGTCCAGCTCCTGGATATGCCTTTAATCAATGTGCCTATTCTTTCATCAATGCAGGCCGATCACTAGAAGCAAACCGGGATTTATTCTACCTAACCTACGGGACGTGAGTCCGCTCGGGCTACACGTTTCAGAGATTTGTTGCTTGTCGCTTTTCTGAGTGATTTTGGAAGTTTCTTGACCACCTTGATCCGCATATGAATACCGGTTTACGACCTTAAATAGTGGCATCGATTGGCGGTCCACGGCATATCTCAAATGGAAGATAATATTTACAGAGTTTAAAATATAAATTTTACCCCTTTATGTCCGCTATGCTCGTTGGACGTAACAAATGAGTTGAGTTTGCCCACCGAGTTTAGGCACTACCCTGTCATCTGGGGATCCGGCCTCCCGCCCAGTATACTAATCGCAGCTCACTGGATGTATTATTCAGCATTACTGCTGATATGTGTCTCTGTGGACAATCAATATGCTCACTTACGCGCAGGGATTCGGAAGATAATGCACCGTCTTTGAATATCTGCGCGTAGACTAGCGCTCTCCCGGTGGGGATATCACTCATTAGAAAGCAGGACGTCACTAAGCTCGATCACGTCACAAATTGCAGCAAAAGTGCATGAAGCTATGACATCCATAATTTTTCTTTATGGTAAGTGTGCTTGCTGTCACTTACCTTTACCACTTGTCGGAACCACGAGGCCCGTGTCTATGCATAACGCTGATTATGGGGTGACAAAAAAGCATGATAGCCTGACCTAACAGCCAAAGAGGGCCCCTCATCATTGTGGCCGTGTACGTTGCCGCTTAACCTTGTCCGTTCCGAAAAGTATGCAAGACCAACATTGTTGAAGAGTGTTTATCTACTTGATGCAGTTGTACAAGCACAACTGAGAACACCCCCGTAACATTTTGCATTAATCACTCTCACGCGGCGATGAATCTTGAATGAAAATGTCAATTCGTTAGTCCTGAGTTATATCTTCGTTGAAAATTCTCAGAATTCCTAATGTACCGAAACCGAATTTGCCCACTTGTCACTTGGTCTTATCGTCACCAATGGAAGAACCATGTGTTCACTGATGTTGCGGTGCAAAGGCTAAGTGATCTTACGGATCATCGGACACAGCGAAGTTAAAGCTGAGGAGAGATATGAACAAGGCAGGCAGGTTGTATAGAACTGATTCCTAGGATACAAGTACCTCATACACTATCGAACGTGTGCTCATTTTCCTTCTTGATGCTGACACTCTATAGTTTGATAAAGACAACAGCTCCATCGTTCTCACCGTAACCTGGAATCCTCGCATACTCAACCGCAGCAGAACTCTCTTTGACATCGATTTTCGTCTCCCGTGCTTGCTTCCCTAAACCGACTATTTACAATGTTCAGGACCCGTTCAAAGCTAGAACGCGCACTCATATATCAGACACACCCAACCAGTTGAAAAGCGCCAGCTGTTCCGGGTGCTTGTCATATGAGTTTGCCCCACATCAGAGTAAACTTTCCTGCCGACGTACTGCCAGTCATCTTCATTTTACAATAGTGTCTGAAATACCGGGGTGCATAGGCGTTTAACAAAGCCTCTCATTTTGCCATCTTTTGGGTGATGATGATCTAACTGAGGGCTTCAAGGTTTACTGAGTCTGATTGCCTCAGGAACATATCCTTCATCTCTATTCCAAATAACACAATCAAAACACCATTATTCTAGTCTTTCCGCTCAAAGCTCTCGACGACTTTTGATTCCCCATTATCTAAATCTTAACTGTGCCTTGTCTGCCGATCCACATTCGTCCCACCCGGTCAGCCATTTCAGCCACTAGCCATCTTTGAACATCCACCGACTCGTTCCGTACCATGTCCTCCCCTTCTGCATTTCTCACCTCGACGATTTGGTGAGCGATTGACAGCTCTTTCTTCAGCTGTTTTCATTATCCCCAAAACCACCCCTGTCTCACGGTGAGCCCCATGCCTTGCTTTCTGGCGTGATTCGGACTTATTATTACTCCATCTACTCCATACTCTCCGAACATACGCCCAGCCAACTCCGCTTCATGAAGCACGATCGCCCCTCAACAATTTCCTTCAATGCACCAGTGAATTATTACCCAGCATAGTCCCCGAAAAACGCAACGTTGTCTGTGACAATACTGTGGTGAGTTATTTTGACAGCATAGAAATAGCCCATTTTGAAACTCTAACTGAAACATGGGTCAATGTCGTTGGCGCCCAGCCATGACTCGAATAGTCTAACTGGTACATCAGACAAAGTTGTTCTTTGCAAATCTGAAGACGTCTTAAAAATAGGACCATTTGGAATAAAAAACGCGGCAGAATTCATTCGGCCACCTGGAAACCAAACTGACATTTTAGTAGGAGCTACATGCACCACAGGTTAAGTGAACCCCCTAAATAGGACGACTAGCTCACAAGTGAAACCATTAGTAATGTGAATGACATACACAACAAATTGAAAATAGTAGCTTTTGTCGATCCGATGCGTCCCGGGCTTAGGCTTGTCCTGGTTGTGACATATATCCCGGGGGATAATCTCAGAAATCCAAAGGACCAGTTATAGCAAGGAAGAAATTCTCTCATGTGTAATTTAACAATGACCTTCTAAACAAACACCGTGTGACATCTCAGACTCAACTAAATTTACAAAGCCGGTCTGCTTTTCCTTAGGCTGTAAGCGTGGCGTGCCTAGGTCCCTTCATCGCCCAAACACGCAACATGAACATATCGCTGAATGCTTTGAACTGCTGATTCCACTAGACGAATCCAAATTTTAGGATTCGTTTACAACTCCTCCCGCGCAGCATGCACTGTCAGCAAGAAATGCACACACCCACTTGGTATGCTGACTTTCACCGCAAACTCTAACTGCCTTCCTCTACATCTCCGTTGCCCACTTTGTGAATGAGAATCAATGAACAGTACCAAAAGCTGTCTGTTATTGTTTTCTCATTCCCGGCACGCTCAAGTAGTTTATACTTTCATCTTTCTATAAGCTACCAGTCAACTACCTGGTCGCACGAACCACTTATAAGTACGCATACTCCTTAATCACATAATTTGGACTATTCACTCACACCTTGCCCTTCGTACTCAGATTCATGGGCGACTGCGCAACTAACTATGGCCTTATTGACGCAAAATTTAGCTAATACATATCCCTAGTATTCACATATGGCCACACCAGTTTGCACCGACCGGATACAGTCACTTCCTGCTACTGCCACCTGAAAGTCGGTTACTGCTTTTGAAAAGAATGGTATTGCCCCATCGAAACACTCGAAAACTGCACCCAATCCCATTCGCCTGCCATTTTGAGCTCAGCCTTAGTCATACCCTGGTTTCCTCTATTGAGCCTTCCTGACTTCCAATTTAGAGTCTCATGTCCAGATGCGGCTGTCCTATCGTCCCGTCTGACTGACAGCATTGAAACACGCTGCGTGTAATGACGGTATTTTTTCTCAGCGAAGGTCTCGATTTGAGCCTCTTAAGCTAGCATTCACGTAAAAACAACCACCAAGGGCAAACAAGGTATACTAGCACCCCAAAACTAAGTCATATATACGGGGTAGGCTGCAGTAACATTCTGAAAATTCTGACGCGTTCTGGATTTGACATTTTAACCGGCATTCGGCAAATACCGGGTCATGATTGACTGGTGGGTCCAAACATTCGACCATTCAGATCTCGGCTTGATACCGGGCCGGCGAGCGTCCCGATTTTTGGCCAATCTTGCGTGGAATGGGCTTCTCGGCCGTTGCAGCACCTGACTGCGAGCGGCAAAGGAGGATCCGTGTGGCGATCCGCCTAATACTGCGTTCTCGATGGAGCCGATTATACCCGTGATCCATACAAGCCTTACCATGTCTAGATTCAATTACCAATCCTGAATGGTCTTACAATCTTATCTGACTTACCCAACACGTTCATGCACGAGTCTTCCAAGAACGCGTGTAACACGA